GGGGGGGCGGGCCGCCTCCGCCCCCGCGCCCCCCATGTGACAGGGCGGCGGGCCGGGGTCGCGGAGGTGGTGCCATGGCGCGCGCCTTTTACCGCCGGACGCCACCCCCTGCTGCGTGCTGTACGCGCGCACGTTCGGGACCCCGCAGCCCCCGAGGGGTCCGCCCGGCAGTGCCTCTGCCGCAAAGAGCAGCTTCTGGCCGTGGCCAGGAACTCTCCCCCTACGGGCCCCCTTCCTGGGGATACTGGGGCCCGGTGGGACCCCAGGACCGTGAGTCCCTCCCCCTCCCCACGACACCCAGGGTTGTGGCGCCCCCTCCTTTCTCCCTGGGATCCCTACAGACATGAGACCCCCGTTTCGGGGGCGGGGCGGGGGGTCCTGAGCTTTGCATGACCCCGAGGGCGCTGACACTCCCTGTCTGTGGGTTTCTCCTTTCCTGCGGGGTCTCTGGGCTCCGTGCGACCCCCAGAGCTGGGGGACAGGGCTCGGCAGGACCCCGGCCCCGGGAGTCCCGCCGAGCCCTGTCCCCCCCACAAGTCTTAACGTGAGGGTCCCCCCCCCTTTCTCTCCCAGGCGAGTGGCATCCAAGTGACTGCTGCTTCAGTCGTCCTTGGGGCACCCGTCCTCCCCCAAACTACACCAGCTCCAGGACGAACCGCTATCGCTGCAAGACACCCTGGGGGGACAGTTCTCACTAGCCCTTGGCCCTCTAGTGAACACGCAAGAAAACGGGGACTCTGGGCTCTGCCCTTTCCTTAGTCATCTAAAGCAACATTCACTTTCTCATTCATGTAAAGGCCCTGCTCTGAATTCTGAAACATGCAGTGATTCCTCCCAAACCAAAGGTGCTAGGAGGGAAAATCTTGGCTGGTTCTCACTAGCCCTTTGCCATATAGTGAATGAACCAAGAGAATTGGAACTCTGGCCTCTGCCCTTTCCTTAGTCACCTAAAGCAACATTCGCTTTCTCATTGGCGCAAGAGCTCGGCTCTGAATTCTTAAACGTCCAGTGATTCCTTCCACACCAGAGGTGCCAGGAGGGAAAATCTTGGCTGGTTCTCACTGGCCCTTTGCCATCTAGTGAATGCACCAAGAGAACTGGGGCTCTGGCCTATGCTTTTTCCTTAGTCATCTAAAGAAACATTCACTTTCTCATTCTCGCAAAATCCCGACTCCGAATTCACAGAATCACAGAATGTCAGGGATTGGAAGGGACCTCAAAGGATCATCTAGTCCAGTCCGCCTGCTGGAGCAGGATCACCTAGATCAGATCACACAAGTACGTGTCCAGGCGGGTTTTAAACATCTCCAGAGAA